TGCGCGCAGCTGGTTTCCGTCGCCCCGCCGAGGGGCCAGTCCTCGACGCATGGCCGCTTTCGGTGCCAGGGGGCGCTTGGAAGATCGGCGACGTGAGCTGCTTGGCAAATCCCCCCTTTGCTGCGCCCCATTTTCGTCCAGCCCGCCTAGCCCGCAGGCCCGCATCGGTTCGACGGATAGAGGGGCGCCCTTGCTCGCCCTTGCCTCCCGACACCCCCCTTGCCTCTCGTTGGCGGCCGGGCGTCGGCGGTAATCACCAGCGCCGCCCTGTTGATTTTCAATATGGCGGGCGCCACCCCGCGATTCGCCCGAGCGGGGGAACTATTTTTTGAAACGCGCGCCCCCCACGGATTTGTTAATCACACGCTGACATTCGATGTTCGTCTCGGGTCCATTTCTGACGGCCCGGGGGCCCGAAAAGGGCCCCCCGGAGGCCAGAAACAACAATCAGTTTTTTTCCCGGCGACGAAAACAGAAACTGAAGGCGACGATAATCCGAAAACGATCGACGATGAGAGTTGCATTGTTTCTCCAGGGCAGTGCAGCTCCCTGCGGGCGCCCTTCCCCTGGCGAGCGAACAACACACACGCACACACACACACACGCGCGCACGCAAGCGCACACACACGCACACACATGCACACACATACGCACGCACATGCACACACAGACGCACACAGACACACGCACGCACACGCACACGCACACGCACACGCACACGCACACGCACAACGCACAACGCACAACGCACAACGCACAACGCACACGCACACAGACACACGCATAACGCATAACGCACAACGCACAATGCACAACGCACAACGCACAACGCACACGCGCACGCACACGCGCACGTACACGAACATGCACGCGTTCACGCACACGCGCACGCGCACGCACACGCACACGCACACGCACACACAACACACAACACACAACACACAACACACAACACACAACACACAACACACAACACACAACACACAACGCACAGCGCACAGCGCACAGCGCACAGCGCACTGCGCACAGCGCACAGCGCACAGCGCACAGCGCACAGCGCACAGCGCACAGCGCACAGCGCACAGCGCACAGCGCACAGCGCACAGCGCACAGCGCACAGCGCACAGCGCACAGCGCACAGCGCACAGCGCACAGCGCACAGCGCACAGCTCACAGCGCACAGCGCACAGCGCACAGCGCACAGCGCACAGCGCACAGCGCACAGCGCACAGCGCACAGCGCACAGCGCACAGCGCACAGCGCACAGCGCACAGCGCACAGCGCACAGCGCTCAGCGCATAGCGCTCAGCGCTCAGCGCTCAGCGCTCAGCGCTCAGCGCTCAGCGCACAGCGCACAGCGCACAGCGCACAGCGCATAGCGCGCAGCGCGCAGCGCGCAGCGCACGGCGCACGGCGCACGGCGCACAGCGCACAGCGCACAGCGCACGGCGCACAGCGCACAGCGCACAGCGCACAGCGCACAGCGCACGGCGCACGGCGCACGGCGCACGGCGCACGGCGCACGGCGCACGGCGCACGGCGCACAGCGCACAGCGCACAGCGCACAGCGCACAGCGCACAGCGCACAGCGCACAGCGCACAGCGCACGAGGCGCACAGCGCACGAGGCGCGAGGCGCGAGGCGCGAGGCACGAGGCACGAGGTACGAGGTACGAGGCACAAGGCACAAGGCACAAGGCACAAGGCACAAGGCACAAGGCACCGCGCGCCGCCCACCGCGCACCGCGCACCGCGCACCGCGCACCGCGCACAACGCACAGCGCACACCGCACAACGCACAACGCACAACGCACAAGGCACAAGGCACAACGCACAACGCACAGCGTACAACCTACAACCTACAACGTACAAGGCACAACACGCAACGCACAACGCACAACGCACAACGCACAGCGCACCGCGCACAACGCACAACGCACAAGGCACAATGCACAACGCACAACGCACAAGGCACAATGCACAACGCACAACGCACAACGTACAACGCACAACTCGCCACGCACGCACGCGCGCGCACGCGCACGCACGCGCGCGCAGTTACGCCTGCGCGCACGCGCGCGCACGCACGCATACAGACATATACACAAACACAAACGCAGAGGCAGACCCTGAGACTGACACCGACACACACACGGACATAGACACACAGACACTGGCACAGACGCGCACACACTGACACAGACACAGACACAGGCACAGACAGACGCAGATACAGGCACAGACACAGACCCAGATACAGACATAGACACAGGCACACCCGCGGACCCCCACACCCGCGGACCCACGGACCCACGGACCCACACACCCACACACCCACACACCCACACACGCACACACGCACGGTCCCCCACACACCCACACACCCACACACCCACACACCCACACACCCACACACCCACACACCCACACACCCACACACCCACGCCCCCCCCCCCACATCCTTGTTTTTTTATTATGATATACTCCCACCTAGCTCGTATTCCGGCCGATAGCAACCCGATCCGGGACCTCCCATCCGGACTATAACAAATCAATACAAAGTGGCCGTTTTTCTTCTTAACATCGTCTTTCTTGTCGTCGAAGATGCGAAAAACGTGGCAGGAATGGGACGCGGCGCACATCGCGCGCGGCAGTCAATCTGGGCCCCCCCCTCCTGATTGTAAAAAATCAATACAAAGTTTTTCGTTTTCTCCTCTCAGCATGGCCTGCCTTGTCGCCGACGGTGCGAAATATGTGGCAGCAGTGGGACGCGGCGCACATATGGGACGCGGCGCACATCGCGCGCGGCCGTCAATCCGGGCCCGCCCATCCTGACTGTAAACAATCAATACAAAGTCTCCGTTTTCTCCTCTCAGCTTGGCCTGCCTTGTCGCCGACGTTGCGAAATATGTGGCAGGAGTGGGGCGCGGCGCACATCGCGCGCGGACGTCCATGCGGGCTGCCGGCCCTCCCATCCTGATTGTAAAAAAAACAATACGGAGTTGCCGTTTTTCCTTTAATCATGGCCTGTCTTGTCGTCGACGATGCGAAATGCGTCGCAGGAATGGGGCGCGGCGCACATCGCGCGCGGACTTGGGGCAACCCCAAGGCGGGAGGGGCCACCTTACTTGTCAGAAGCAATGCCATGCTGATTTTCCTTGCCCACATAGCTGTTCTTGTCGTCCACCCCGCAAAAGTGCATGGCAAGAATTGGGCGCGGCACACACCCCTCCCCCCCCGCTCGAAGTGAATGAAATGACCTTCCCGCTTGGGCGCCGAGCGAAATTTTCTCAAAGTTGCGCTCCCGCTTTGGCTCGGCGCACGTTTTTAGCTCGCCAATTCATTGGGCGCCAGGGCGTTCCAGGAGGCCCTGGGGTGACGAATGCCTGGGAGGTTTTTGCTTGTTCAGGCTCTTGGAGGGCCTCCTGAGGCTCCCCGCGGTTTCTTGGCGCTACGGCCGTCTGGAGGCCATCTTGGGCGTCTTGGAACGATCTTTCGGCGATTCAGGGCCCCTCGGATCGTCTCGGGGGCGTCTCGGCTCTCTTGGGGCGTTCCTGGGGCGCTCTGGGACCTGGAAGTCAGCGCCGAAGAAGAAAACCATCGCTGGGACCGACGTGCCCAGGACCTGCTCGGGGTTCTTTTCGTCCGGGGGCCCCCAGGGGCCGCCCCGCGCGCGCAAACTAGAAGATTGTTAACTAGTTACCGGAGATCTTAGCACGCCTCTGGCCCGTTGAGCTGGCCCGGGAACTGCACATATGGGACGCGGCGCACATCGCGCGTGGCCGTCAATCCGGGCCCGCCCATCCTGACTGTAAAGAACCAATACAAAGTTTTCGTTTTCTCCTCTCAGCTTGGCCTGCCTTGTCGCCGACGGTGCGAAATATGTGGCAGGAGTGGGACGCGGCGCACATCGCGCGCGGACGTCCATGCGGGCTGCGAGCCCTCCCATCCTGACTGTAAAAAACAATACAGAGTTGCCGTTTTTCCTTTCATCATAGCCTGTGAGTCTTTCTGGCCCTCGGGGTTCGAGTCTTTCTGGCCCTCGGGGTCCTCTTCTAAGTCACGGCTGGACGCGACTCGAAAAATTTGTGCGTTTGGACCCGGGAGGGGTCCGAAGGCTTCCTTCGGACCGCATTTGGGTTTGGGGGTACGGCGAGGGGGAAAACAGCAGCCTGTCCGTTGTCTCGAGAATCGGTGTTCGAGGCTTTCTGGCCCTCGGGGTCCTCCTCTAAGTCACGGCTGGACGCGACTCGGAAAAGTGGTGCGTTTGGACCCGGGAGGAGTCCGAAGGCTTCCTTCGGAACGGATTTGGGGGATTTAGGGGTACGGCGAGGGGGAAGACAGCAGCATTGTTTCTTATGTTGTGGGAGGGCGGAACGTGTCCGTTGTTCCTTTCACCATGGCCAGTCTTGTCGTCGACGATGCGAAATGCGTGGCGGGAATGGGACGCGGCGCACATCCCGCGCGGACGTCAATGCGGTGTCCTGGGGTATCCTCCACTCGCACTGAAATGCCCGCGCAGCCCCCAGTTGTGCCATCACTGTTTCTTGTGTTGTGGGAGGGCGGGTGGGAATGGGCATGCCATGCTTGACTCGCTCGAGCTGGCTAGCTTGACACACACACACACACCCACACACCCGCACACCCACACAGACGCACAGACGCACAGACACACAGACACACAGACACACAGACAGATAGACAGATAGACAGACCAACAGACAGACAGACAGACAGACAGACAGACAGACAGACAGACAGACAGACACACAGACACACAGACACACACACACACAACACACAACACACAACACCCATGCCCGTGGGCATGGGGGGGCGGAGGGGGCCGTGGGCGCGTGTTGTCGGACGGGGGTCCCCGCTCGAACGGAGGCCCCGGCCGGGGTCCGACAACCCGCGCCCATGCTCACGACCGGCCCTCCTCCGTCCGACCCCCCCTTGCCAGTCTGCGCGCGTGTTGCTCGCTCGTCGGCCCCGGAGCAGGCGCCCACGAACGGCCTCCGGCAGAGGCAGCCCACGTCGAGCTTCGGGTGCGGCCTGGCGGGCTGCTCGCGCGGGTGCGTGCCCGCGCGGCAGGACGGCCGCCCGCCGCCCCGGGTGGTGGTTGCGATGATGACGGCGACGACGGCGACGACAAGGCCGACGACGACGATGCTGATGATGGTGGTGATGATGAGGATGGTGATGCCGATGGTGATGCTGATGCTGATGCTGATGCTGATGCTGATGCTGATGCTGCTGATGATGATGATGATGATGATGATGATGATGGTGATGATACTGAAGGTGATGACGAAGATGATCATGACGATAATGATGACGATGGCGATGACGACGATGATGATAGTGATGGTGCTGATTATGCTTATGATGAGGATGATGAGGATGAGGAGGATGATGATGATGGTGGTGGTGATCATGCTGAGGATAGTGGAGATGCTGCTGCTGATGATGATGACGACGACGCTGATGACGATGATGATGCTGCTGATGATGATGATGATGATGATGCTGATGATGATGCTGATGCTGATGCTGATGCTGATGCTGATGATGATGATGATGATGATGATGATGATGATGATGATGATGATGATGATGATGATGATGATGATGATGATGATGATGATGATGATGATGGTGGTGGTGGTGGTGGTGGTTGTGGTGGTGATGAGGAGGAGGAGGAGGTGGAAAGGCGGACGAGGAAATCCAGCCGCGAAACTGGAAATTCGACCCCGAACTGGGATTTTTTGTTTCGGTCGAACGGGGGATGTTTTCTTGGCTAACGGGGAAATTCTCCGGACGTTCCCGGGATGTTTTTCCGGTCTAACGGGGACATTTTTTCGGCTCGACGACGAAAGCTTCTTGATGTAGTCACGTGCGCTGCTGGATGCAGGCTGTCCTAGAAATGGAAAGCGCTGGAGGACACGGGCGCATGCATTCGGCTTGAGTTTTCGAACTTAGGGTTGGTTCTTCAGTTGCAGTTTCCACTTGCCCCATCGTTTAGGATCCACTTTTCACGGTTTCCAAGGGGACCGCTTGGTACTCCAGTCATCTTGGGGGGCCAGCAGGCGAGTTGCGCTGGCCCTGAGAGCTTTGTTGGTGGCAGTGGTTTCCAGGCAGGGTTCCTACCACATGTGGGGCTCCAGAAGATGCCCCGCCTTCGAGGGTCGAAGGATTGGCCATCTTTTCCGCAGCGGAACCGCGGCGGAGGGGCGGCGGAAGCCCGCGCAGGTAATCAAAAAACGAGGCGCGCCTCCGTCGGCGGAAGCCGCCTGAAAACTACCAGCGGAGGCCGGCGGGAGTAGAAGATGTGCCCCCAAGAGGATCACTGTCCCCAAACCTCTCCAAACGGGGTGTTAGTAAACGGGTTGGCAGTTGAGGGGCCTCTACGAGCGAGTACAGGGTGACAGGGCATTTACCTTGCACTAGTGCGTGATAAGTCGGGACGACAAAGTCGTCGATACATCATCATAGCTCTGGGCGGGGGGGATTGGCAAATCAACTTTTCGAAGCTAAAACTGAAAACGCACCCTGAGCTACCACCCCGTTTACAAACATCCCGTTTGCAGGGGCTTGGTGCCTTAAGGTTGAAATCTCAGGGTGGCCCAGAGTTTTTTGGGAAAAGGAAAGGTTTTTCGAACTTGGGGGAGGCGTGTATTGTTCTGGAGCTCGCTTTGCATTCTCATGTAGTCGGTGTGTATTGGCAGAGGGAGGCTCGAAGGCTGGAGAAACGTGGTCTAGAGAAACGATTGCGTTTGCAGGGCTCGTTGTGGTTCACGGGTTTTTGGGTTTCGCTCCGTGGTATGTGGAGGTTTCCAGCAGGAGTGTCTACGGCTCGTGTAATCATGTGATGGAATGTTGTTTGGCGTAGCGTTCGCCCGATCACAGGCTGCTGCCCCATAGTTGAAAAGTTGGTGTGGCCGGGAGCTCTTCGGAAAATTTGGCGTTTCCAGACTTAGGGCTGGCGTGTGTGATTCAAACGTTCGTTTTGCATTATTATGTAGTCGTCGTGAATTTGAAGGGGGGATGTTCGACGGCTGGGTTGAGTCTGGACAAACGGTTGCGTTTACAGGGCTCGTTGTTTTCGCGGGCGTTCGGGTTTCGCTCCGTGGTGTTCGGAGGGTTCCAGCAGGAGTTTCCTATTCCAGCGTCCCTAGGTTTCCTCGATCGACGGATCTACTTATCATGTGATGGGTCGTTCTTCGGCGTAGCGTTCGCCCGATCAACAGTCACGGCTACTGAACATTGAAAATCAGGGGTCGGCCGAGAATTCATAGGAAAGGGGGGGCCTTTCCAAAAATGGGGCCTGCGTGTGTTATCGTGGTTTGTGTTGTAATGTAGTCGTTTTGTAAAGGAACAGGGAAGTTCGGAGGTTGCAGAAGGGGGTCTAGAGAAGCGACTTCGCTTGAAGGGCTCGTTGTGTTTCGCGGGTTTTCGGGTGTCGCTGCGTGGTGTGTGGAGGTTTCCAGCAGGAGTTTCCCATTTCAGCGTCCCTAGACTTCCTCGATCGGCGGCTCTTGTACTCATGTCTTTGGCGTAGCGATCGCCCGCTCAGCAGTCGCTTCCTTGAAGAGTTGAAGACGCGGGTTGGCCGGGAACTCTTCGGAAAAGGAGGAGTTTATAAGACTAGGGCAGGCGTGTCTTCTTCTTGAGGGAAGTTCAAAGGCCATAGAGGGGGTCTTCATAAACGATTGTGGTTGTACGGCTCATCTTTTTCTGCGGGCGTTCGGGGTTCGCTCCGTGGTATATGGTGGTGCTTATCAGGAGTGTTCTATGCTGGCGTCCGTAAATGTCTTCGTTCGACAGCTCCTGCAATCATGTGATAGGTTATTTTTTGGCGTAGCGTTCGCCCGATCAACGGATGCTGCCCAGAAATTAAGAACTCGTGGTGGCCGAAACTTCTTGGGACATAATGGGGGCCATTGAAAGAATAGTGCAGGGTGCAGCTTTGCGAGAGCATGGAGCCGTTTAGTATCGGCAGAGGGAGGTTCGAAGGCTAGAGGTAGTGGTCTAGAGATAGTGGTCTAGAGGTCTTGGGGGAGGCGTGTATTGTTCTGGAGCTCGCTTTGCATTCTCATGGAGCCGTTGAGCATCGGCAAAGGGAGGTTCGAAGGCTTGAGACAGTGGTCTAGAGAAGCTACTGCGCTTGCAGGGATCGTTGCGTTTCGCGGATGTTCGGGTCTCGCTCCGTGGCGCGTGGGGGTTTTCAGCCGAGTCTCTTATTTAATCGCTTCGCTCATTCCGCCGGCCCTGGAGCGCTATTTGGGGCCTCTTGGGGCCGTCTTGGGGGCCTCTTGGGGGCTTCTTGGGGGCGTCTTGGGGCTCCTTGGCGGCGTCTTGGGGGCCCCTTGGGGCGGGAGGGGGGGTAGTCGATTGCAGCCACCCTCTCGGAGGCCACGATCCTCGTGAGGGGTGGCGAAAAATAGCCCCCCACCCCCTGGGGATCGCCCGTTCCAGCGTTCGTAGGTTTTCTCGTTCGGCGCCTCGTGTAATCGTGTGATGGGTTGTTTTTGGGCGTAGCGTTCGCCCAACCACCAGCTGCTGCCCTACAGTTGAAAAGTTGGTGTGGCCGGGAGCTCTTCGGAACATTGGGCGTTTCCAGACGCAGAGCTGGCGTGTGTTATTCAAACGTTCGTTTTACATCATTATGCAGTCGTCGTGAATTTGAAAAGGGGAGGCTCGAAGATCAGGTTGAGTCTGGACAAACGATTGCGTTTACAGGGCTCGTTGTTTTTCGCAGGCGTTCGGGGTTCGCTACGTGGTGTTTGGAGGGTTCCAGCAGGAGTTTCCTGTTCCAGCCCTAGGTATCCTCGATCGACGGATCTACTTATCATGTGATGGGTCGTTCTTTGGCGTAGCGTTCGCCCGATCAACGGGCATTGCCCTAAAATTGAAAACCCTGGGTGGCCGAGAGCTCTTCGGATCAAGGAGGCGTTTTCAACGTTAGGGCCGGCGCGTGTTACTCAGGTGCTCTTTTTGCATTATTACGCAGTCGTTGCGTATCGAGAGAGGGAGGTTTGAAGGCTGGGTTGGGGGCAGTCGTCCAGGATTGCGTTTCCCAGAACTAGAGATTGTGGGAAACGCGATTGTGGCTCATTTAGTGCTGCTGTTTTTTGAGGAACATTGCGTTTCCCATACTTCGCAGGGCTTCGGGTTGGGTCTAGAGAAACGATTGCGCTTGCAGGGCTCCTTGCTGCTCACGGGCGCTGGGGCGTCGGCAGCATTCACTTGATGAGGGCCCTTCCGAAGGTGTCCAGTTGTCTGTGGGGTCTGGTCTGGAGGCGTCCAACAAGAGTCTCTTGTTCCAGCGAATGTGCATTTCTCGTTCGACGAAGGACATTTTCTCCGCTCGCCCTGAACAGGTTCTTCGTTCGACCGAGGAACCAATCCCCCGCTCGCCCGAAATAATTGCCTCCGTCGGTGTGGGGGGATTTCCTGGCTCGCTGGGAAATGTTCCTCGCTCGCCAGTCGACCGAATAGGTTTCTCCTTTCACCTGTCGGTCAGATGATGGTGATGATGCTGATGATGATGAGGATAATGATGATGCTGAGGATGATGATGCTGCTGATGGAGGTGGTGATGATGATGTTGAGGGTTATGGCGATGTTGGTGCTGCTGATCACGGCTTGCGATGATGGCTGCGATCGTGGCCATGTGCCCCGTAGTGTCTTTCGGTTGCCTGCAGCCGCGGCTCAGATCCGCGCCGCTGGGACCAGCAGTGACCATGGCCATGGTGACGACCATGGTGATGGTGGTGACGAGGAGGATCCGGAGGATACGGCTGCAGAAAGGGGGACGGATGAAGCGCAGGAGGAGGAGGAGGAGGAGGAGGAGGAGGAGGAGGAGGAGGAGGAGGATGGAGGAGGAGGATGGAGGAGGAGGAGGAGGAGGAGGAGGAGGAGGAGGAGGAGGAGGAGGAGGAGGAGGAGGAGGAGGAGGATGGAGGAGGATGGAGGAGGATGGAGGAGGAGGACAAGGGAGGAGGAGGGCGAGGTCCCGCGGTGATCTGCGTCAGGCGCACCTCCGCTGGGCCTCCCAGGAGCTGCCAATGAAAGCCGTGCGCGTCCCGCTCAGCTTTCGGCGGAAGAGGCTCGCCCTCGCCCCGCAGATCAGAAAACTGGACCTCCCAGGAGCCCCACGAAAGTGGCGACAGCTTCGCAGATCAGGGGACGGCGAGGTCTCGTGGTGATCTGCGTACGCCGCACCGTCGCTGGGGCTCCCAGCACTCCCCCGAAAGTGTCGACCGCTTCGCAGACCGCAGCCCCCCAGGGGACGGCGAGGTCTCGTGGTGATCTGCGTAAGACGCACCTCCGCTGGGCCTCCCAGGAGCCCACACAAGTGGCGACAGTTTCGAAGATCGCGGCCCCCCAGGGGACAGCGAGGTCTCATGGTGATCTGCGCAAGACGCACCTCCGCTGAGCCTCCCAGGAGCCCACGAAAGTGGCGACAGTTTCGCAGATCGCAGCCCCCCGGGGGACGGCGAGGTCTCGTGGTGATCTGCGTCAGACGCACCTCCGCTGAGCCTCCCAGGAGCCCACGAAAGTGGCGTCATTTTCACAGATCGCAGCCCCCCAGGGGACGGCGAGGTCTCGTGGTGATCTGCGTAAGACGAACTTCCGCTGGGCCTCCCAGGAGCCCACACAAGTGGCGACAGTTTCGAAGATCGCGGCCCCCCAGGGGACAGCGAGGTCTCATGGTGATCAGCGTCAGACGCACCTCCGCTGGGGCTTCCAGAAGCCCACACAAGTGGCGACGGTTTCGCAGATCCGAGGCCCCCCAGGGGACAGCGAGGTCCCGTGGTGATCTGCGTAAGACGTACCTCTATTGGGCCTCCCAGGAGCCCACGAAAGTGGCAACAGTTTCGCAGATCGCTCCCCCGGGGGTCGGCGAGGTCTCGTGGTGATCCGCGTGAAACGTACCTCCGCTGGGCCTGCCAGGCGCCCACGGCACCTCCGCTGCGCAAGTGACGGTACCCGAGCGAGTCGCGGGCACGAGGTAGGACACAGGAGGGAGGAGAGAGGGAGAGGAGGAAGAAGGCAGGACGCAGGCGGGAGGAGAGGGCGAGGAGGAGACGGCGAAGGACGCGGCAGACAGTGCTTTATTCAGAACGAGTGCGCAACCAATGGAGGGTTGGGGAAAAACTTTGAAGAACTCTTTCAAGACCCGGGATTCTTGATTTCCGTTTTTTTTGATAGTTATTTCAATTGTTTTTTCTTAGGCAGCACACCCGAGACCTCGACCATGGGAAGACCCTTGCCAAGGCGGCCAACGCGCCATCGGACATGTGGGCATGATGCCGCATGTGAAACCCATTAAGTCCGACGGCCGTTCTCCTACAAATGTTACGCGGCCACGACGTGACTTGCTCAGGCTCTCGGATCGGGAGGGGGTCATTCAGGACCCCTAGAACTGAAGGCGTGCTGTCGGAGGCTTTCCGGAGGGTCCCAAATTTGACGTTCCAAATTTGACGAACATGGAGACAGTTTCGAAGATCGCGGCCCCTCAGGGGACGGCAAGGTCTCGTGGTGATCTGCGCAAGACGCACCTCCGCTGGGCCTCCCAGCACTCCCCCGAAAGTGTCGACCGCTTCGCAGACCGCAGCCCCCCAGGGGACGGCGAGGTCTCGTGGTGATCTGCGTAAGACGCACCTCCGCTGGGCCTCCCAGGAGCCCACACAAGTGGCGACAGTTTCGAAGATCGCGGCCCCTCAGGGGACGGCAAGGTCTCGTGGTGATCTGCGCAAGACGCACCTCCGCTGGGCCTCCCAGGACTCCCCCGAAAGTGCCGGCAGCTTCGCAGACCCGCAGCCCCTGAGGGGACGGCGAGGTCTCGTGGTGATCTGCGTCAGACGCACCTCCGCTGGGCCTCCGCACGAAGGAGCTCCCCAGGGCCAGAGGCAGATCACCAAGACGAGAGGGGGTGATTTGGGGCCGCCAGGCCGTCGGGCCAGCTGTAACATGGTGGACCCTCCTCGCTCCGTTGTTGACCCTCTGCCAGAAGCCATTTTTTTTTGTGTTTTTTTGTTTTCGTGTTCGTTTTTGTGTTTTTTTTGTGTTTGTGTTTTTTTTCGGTGGCCACGCCAGATTTCAGCTCCAGGACAGACTGCTCCGCAAGTCGAGGTCTGGCTCTCCGAGCCAGGCGCACACCACCTGCTGCACCTCGGAGAAGGCGGCAGCGTAGTCCATCTGGTTTTTCTTACTGAGAGTAGAAGAATCTCTAGGCTTGGCACTGTGCAGGGTGCATGTGGTCCATGCCGGCCTCCGCGGCACCGACAAGGACACATTTCAGCATGCAGCCGACGAACAGCATGCAAGACAGGGTACCTTGGAGCCCCTGTCTTGGCCCAGCACGGGCCTCCACCACGTCTGACCAACCTGCTCAGGGGCCCCGACATAAGGGAGCGAGACGTCCGTTCTTCCCCCCCCCTCGGCCTCGCCCACGTCTCGTAAGCTTGGGAAGAAAGGGAATCCACCATGTCCCACTCCTGGGCTCGGACCTTTGGAGCCCACGATCGACCAACTCCTTAGCTTTACCATACTCGGGCGGACGGCGAGCATGGCCGACCGGGGATCCACGGGGATCGGCGGAGGCTTCCGCAGGGCAAGCGAGCAGAGCTGGGCCGACCCAGGAGGAACGTGGAGGCGGTGACGACGACGAGCTGGACGCCAGCGCTCCGCCGCGGCGACAGGATCGACGGATTGACGACGTCGACAGGAGCGACGATGACAGGAACTACCTACCACGACGACGACGACGAGATAGGAACGACGGCGGCGACAGGAAAGACGGCGACGACGACGGCGACGTCGCCGGGCACGACGGCGGCGAGATAGGATCGACGACGACGACGACGACGACGACGACGACGACGACGACGACGACGACGACGACGAGGAGCGGCGCCAGGCCGCGGGCGGAGGGCGGCGGCGGCGCGCCCCCCCGCAGGGCCTGCTCTCCGCGATCCGCCGCGGCCCCGCGGGCGCGGACCGCCGGGCCCCGCCGGCGGAGGCCGCGGCGAAAGGGGCTCGCGCGCTCCTGCCCCGGCCATGCCTGCCCCTCTCGTCCGCCAGGCGCTCCCTCGCGTCCTCGGCCGCTCTTCCTCCCTCCTCTCCTCCTGCCTCTCTTGCCTCCCTCCTCGCGCTCCCCCTCGCTCTGCCTCGGCCTCCTTCCCTGCCTCTCGGCCTCCCTCTCGGCCTCCCTCGCCCGGCCAACGGGGCAGCCAACGAGGTTGCCAGCTTGGCAGTCAGCGAGGCAGCCAGCTTAGCTGCCGACGAGGCAGCCAACAAGGCAGCCAGGAAGGCAGCCAACGAGGCAGCTGCCGAGGAAGCCACCGGGACAGCCCTCCCTCTCTTCCTCAACCTCTTCCCTCCATCCTCCCTCTCTTCCTCCCTCCTCCTCCTCCTCCTCCTCCTCCTCCTCCTCCTCCTCCTCCTCCTCCTCCTCCTCCTCCTCCTCCTCTCTTCCTCGACCTTCCCTCCATCCTCCCGCTCTTCCTCCCTCCTCCTCCCAGGAGGGGAAAATCACACAGACACTATTCATCGGCGACCCCCAGGAAAGTATGGGAAAATATTGGAAGTATGGGGGGGGGGAAGACGAAAACCCAGAAAATATTGGAACGTATGGGGAATCCTGGGATTTGTGTCTACTTATCAGTGTGTCCCAGGGCCACATTTACAGGGCTCGCTTCGATTTCTCCGATTCGAGTCGATTTGATTTCGATGACTTCCGATTCCGATTCGATTACACTTGGGATTCCGATTTGGGTTCAGATTCCTCATCGGTGGCGTACTAGCTACCAGCCTGCCGATGCTTGCCGATTCGACTCTTCCCGGCTCGGCTGCCGATCTCCGCCGATCCGATCCGTTTCGATTGCCGATCGGATTTGTCGATTCGATGCTGGGCTCCCCTGCCTTTGCTTCCTCCCCCCTCCTCCTCCCCCTCCTTCCATCCACCCTCCTCCTCCTTCCATCCCCCCTCCTCCCCCCTCCTCCCCCCTCCTCCCCCTCCTTCCATCCACCTTCCTCCTCCATCCATCCATCCATCCATCCATCCATCCATCCATGCATCCATGCATCCATCCATCCATCCATCCATCCATCCATCCATCCATCCATCCACCCTCCTCCTCCTCCTCCTCCTCCTCCTCCTCCTCCTCCTCCTCCTCCTCCTCTTTCTCCTGGGTCGGCGTCCCGCGCTCCCAGGGGGGGAAAGTATAGCGAGAGGCGGTGGGCCTCCCCCTGAGAGCTCGCTTTCGGAGCCTCCTCCAAGAGACCGCGGGGAGGGCTCCTCCCCTCGGGAGGCCCGGGGGGGGGGGCTCCTCTCCTCAGGAGGCCTCCTCCTCCTCCTCCTCCTCCTCCTCCTCCTCCTTCTCCTGAGAGCTCTCTTTCGGAGCCTCCTCCAAAAGGCCGCGGGGAGGGCTCCTCTCCTCGGGAGGCCCGGGTGGGGGCTCCCGAGAAGCCCCGCCTGCCCTCTGATCGGGGGCGGAAAAGAGGGGGGTGATGACTCGGGGGGGTGGATATCACGGCGTGGGCCATGATATTTCCCCAGATTTCGCGGCGCCTCCTCTTATTTCATTACGTCCCTGGCCCCCCCGCTGGGCCGCGCACGTGCCGCCGGTCATGATTTGCACCCCCCCCCTCTTGGACAACACCCCCCTCCCGACTCTGAGGAGGGGGGGCCCAAGGATCCAGCGCGTCGAACGAGGATCGGGACGGAGGCTTCCCGCCGACCTCGGCCTCCAGAGGCCCTCGCCGGGCCCCGGGGCCGTCAAACAACGACTCGGGATGAAGAGCCGGTCCCAGGGAAAGGGTCGGGCTGGGCGAAAGGGGGGGATTGGGAAAGGGGGGGTTACGAAATTTGCTGCACGCAGCTGGTTTCGGCCTCACCGAGGGGCCCATTCCTCGATACATTGGCGCCTCCCGGCGCCGGGAGGCGCCGGGAAAATCAGCTACGCGAGCTGATTCTCAAACCCCCCCTTTGCTATCCCCCCCTTTCGCCCGACCCGAAAGGGTTGGGACATGCGAGGACCGCGCATTGAACAAGAACAAGGCGCTGCATGTCTGGGGACGGAAGGGTCGAGAGCCTTCATTCGGCGGCGATTCCGGGTCGGACTAGGCCAGGACGAGGGTAAACTTTGAGATCTTGGCGTTGCAGTTTTTTGTCACGACGGACGTTCTCGCTCAGTTTCGGACCTCTGGGCTCTCACACATCGATCCGGCTCGAAAAATGACGCAGAAAGATTGGTTCGAGAGCCCTGGTCGTGATTTCTATGCGATGTTGTTTTTGTTTGGATCGTTCTGGAGCGTTCCGGAACGCTCTCAGAGCGTTCCGGAACGCTCTGAGAAGGCCGCGGCGCCCGAGACATCCTCCAGAGCCGCCGGATCCAAGACATCTTCGTCATGGCTTCGTTTTACCAGGGCGAAGTGAGAAGGGGCGGGCCTTCTCAGAAGGCTCCGAAGTCCCCTGGCCTTCTGAGAAGTTTGCCAAGTCGTCCCAGAGGGCCCAGAGAACTTGTCAGAAGGCGCGAGGGCTTCCGAGAAGTCCCGCCGACTTCTGAGAAGGCCTTCTCCTTCTAATTTCTTACCAGCCTCGAACTTATCCCTATCCCTAAGATTGACACGCCAAAAGGCGATGACAATCTTAGGGATGCGCCCTCAAAAAATAAGGGAATCCCTAAGGTTGGCATCGTGATGAGGAGATGCCCAGCATAGGGATAGGGATATGTTCCATGCTGGTAAATTTCCCCCCTCGCTCGCCGCCGAATCATGGGGTCGATGTGCAACCGGGGGTCCGCCAGAGCGCCAGCTCTTGGCGGAGCCAGGGGTGCACACGGAGCGGGGTTGGCGCGCAGGACCCTGCAGGATCCTGCGGGATCCTGTAAAGCCCGAGTGACCTGGGTTCAGAGTTATGGCGGGCGTGTCCCCCTACAGGGGTATTTTCGACGAAAAATAACAAGTACTCCAAACATACCCCAAGACACAGGAGGGAAACAAAAACACTCCATAAAAGAACGAAAGTACTCCAAACATATTCCAAGCATACTCCCAAACAGGAGGGACATATTCCAAACATATTCCAAGACTACGAAGAAGAAAATCTACTCCATAAATCAGGAGGGGAACAAACACACAGACACAATTCATCGTCGATCCCCAAGAGAGTATGGGAAAATATGGGAAGTGGGGGGGAAGACCGAGACCCAGGAAAGATGGAAACGTGTGGGGAGTCATTTCATTTGTGTGTTTTATGTGTGCGTCCTTGGGCCCCTTGAGTAAAGCCCGAGTGACCTGGGTTTCGAGCCAGGGGTGCACTGACGTGGGTCTGAGCGCAGGGCCTCGCAGGATTCTGCGAAGCCCGACGCACCCGGCCGGGTCCGCATTGGCCTGGGCCAGTACAGTGCCGTTTTTAATACATGCTCCGCGTGCGGATCATGTATTAAAGATGCAGGGATTTAGTACTAAAAATATCGATGAGTTCATGCATGAATTCATTCATAAATCAGAGCGTGAATTACCTACCCCGCTTTCGCTTCCAGGCAAAACCAAGTCACACCACGCGCCTCCTCGTCAAGCGGCCTGACCAGCACAGGCCGTAGTTTGGCATCGCTTGGTATCTCTTGGAAGCGAGGGTGGTCAAAAGCGAGGTAGGTTTGATTACCCCCTAATAAATTGAATAATGCATTAAAAATCCAATATGTTCTAAAATCGTAAGTATCAACAAAAACTGCCCTGTAGGTCCCCGAAGGGAGGGGGGGGCGCCTGCCTTCCTCGGGGCACGTCCGTCGTGGGCTCTCCCCGTCGGCCGATGCAAGACCGTCGGGAGGGAACAAAAAACACACGGGCACAGTGAATCCTCGACTGCCAGGAGAAGATGGGGAAATATGCGAAGTGGGGGGAAGACACAAGCGCTGATTCGCGAAGGTGAAGCAAAGTTAGCACGGCTTGCCCCATGCGTGTGCTGTCTTCCAGCCCTCTGCCTCTTCCCCCCTTCCCTGTGCAGCTGCAGCAGTTTCGGGTCGGGTCGGGCGAAAAGAATGGGAGGGGAGCGGGCTAACCCAGAAAATATGGGAACATATGGGGAATCCTGTTATTTGTGTGTGTATTTATTTGTGTGTCCCAGGGCCCCTTCCCAGAAGTCGGCACGTCTGGATGATGCCCAAAGCCTATCTCTACTTTTTGGGCGCCTCCCTGCTTTAAGAGTTGAGCGGTTCTCCCTCGTCCCTCTGCTTCAGGGACGGGCCGGAACCCAACCTATCTCCAGCGTTGAGTCGGGCCTGTCCCTCTACAGGGGGGAGATTCAAAAATAGTCAAAACATAGTCTGGGGACTATTTCTGGAGTATGTTTTGACCATTTTGGAGTATCTTTCAAGTCTGCTTTATTTTTCGTCGAATATCCCCCTGCAGTGGGACACGCCCGACTTACTCCCACTTCATGGTTCTGCCCACTCCTTTCGGCCGACGGGTACGCATCCGCGGCCTCGCGGGCCGGGCTCCCAGGCCGCGACCCCCGCGGGTGCCGTGCGCTGGCACGAGCGAAGCGGGTACGGTTAAGTCGGGCCTGTCCCCCTACAGGGGGATTTTCGACGAAAAATAAGAAATACCCCAAGAATAACTAAACAATGGTCCAAAAATAGTCTGGGGACTATTTTTTGAATATTTGTTTGACCCTTTTGGAGTATTTCTGGTGTATTTTTCGTCGAAAATCCTCCTGTAGAGGGACACGCCCGACATAAGGGTACGGAAACAAGGGGTGCAATATGCCCAGAATCGGGCCGAAGGAAAGGGGGGGGGCAGGGAAAGGGGGGGTTACGAAATCTGCTGCATGCAGCTGGTTTCGGCCCCGCCGCCGGGCCCGTTCCTCGATGCATGGGCGCCTCCTGGCGCCGGGAGGCGCCGGGAGAATCAGCTACGTGAGCTGATTCTCAACCCCTCCCTTTGCAATCCCCCCCTTTCGCCAGACCCGACAAAAGCAGTTCCTGTTCATCTTGAACAGGACTCGCTGTCGGTGTCGCCGCGGCCTGTGCACATCTGAGGCAGAAGGCCGCCTGCCCAACAGTGGCCGCTGTTGGTTTGGGACAACATTCGTTTTTGGGCATTCTACCCACTTTTTCCGTACCCATTTCGGTCGTCCAGAGTGCGTTTTTGTCGCGGGTGCCCCGCGCAGAACGCACTTGTGCGACCGCGCATCCGCGGGATCGCGCCCCGGAGCCCAGGCTGCGAGGGCGCGGATGCGGATATGTTCGCCGCTCGGCAGAAGTTCGGCGCGGGCACTGCTTCTCGGAGGTCCGCCCAGATTTCCTTGGTCGGCCCTGGAACTCCGGCGCGCTCCGCTCGCCAGGGAGGGGGGGGTCCAGCGCGGAGCCGAGAAGTCCGCACGGACCCCCCGACGTCTCGAGTGGGGGATCGACCACAGCACTGGTTTGCCCCAGGCTTGCCTTGCTGGTGGAATGCACGACGCAGGTGGAGCGGTGCCATGTTTCTCGTCGCTTCGCTGGGAACGCAACTGCGGGGCAGGCCACTTCTGTGGCCGATCCCCTGCTCGAAGGCTGCCGCCCGCGCCCCCGCTCGGCGGCGGCGCCCCGAGGGGGGCAGGCAGAGGGAGCGGGCTCGGAGGCGGACCTCCTGGGGGGTCGAGGGTGCGCAGAGGGGGTTTCACAGTGGAGGCCCATGCCAAGAGACACCCTGCTTGCCAGCAGGGTGCCCTGGGTTTCGTGGTTTTCGATGGTTTTGCGATGGAGAGCGCGACGTTCCCAGACCATAAATCAGTGGACGCCCAGAAGGCTCAGGATCGGAGGTGGACAGACCTCCTGCCCTGACACGTCGATTAGCGAATTGGCCGTTTTCGGTTCGCGAGAGGGCGTCGCGGCCGTCGTTTTTGCGGGTCTGGGCCCGTCGGGTTCGGTCCCGGGCCGCTCTCACTAGGAGGAGGTTTACTAAAGGGAGGCTTGTCCACCGCCGACAGGAGGCCCCTCGGGCCGAACGAAGGGGGGGGACAGGGCGAGGGGAGGCCACGAACGCTGCTGCATGCAGCTGGCTTCGGCCCCGCCGCCGGGCCCACTCCGAGAAACACGTGGGCGCCTCCCGGCGCCGGGAGGGCGCCGGGAAGATCGGCCACGCGAGCTGGTTCTCCACCCTACCCTTTGCTATGCCCCCCCTGTCGTTCCCCCCGAGCCTCGGGTTATTGGGAGGCCTCCTGCCTGGCATCGCTCGGGCGTGTG